TAAAATGACTTTAATATTTTGTGATCAATCCACCTAACAGGATTTAATTGCCCTCAGATGGTCCAGGTAATCATATGGAATCTTTGTATGCTGAAGGAGTTTGAACGTGTAGAAGTAAAGAGGAGTTGCAGAAGAGTATATGACTTACAGAAAATAATCTGAGTAAGAATATTATTTCTACTAAAAAGAAAAAGAGATGAGAAAGTATCGAAAATTATACAATTAAAGAGCAGGTGTCTTAGAACAAAAGATGAGGCAAAAAAGCAGAAAAGTAATGTCACAGATCTTCAGTTTAGAAGTCAGTGGAAGTTCCAGGGATCTCTGATTGAACTTGTGAACACATTAGCGGTTTTTTTTTTTTTTCTTTTTCATTTTGCTTTTAATAAGATGAACTCATAGCTACATCAGAGTATCCTCAGGCATGTGACTGATTTGAATAAGGCTTCAATATTGTTTTAGTTGGGTAAGAAGCTGGTTATATTTTCTAATAAGAAGTACACCTGTCGGCATTTTCCTAGGAACTAGTATCATATGTCAAAGACATACATGCTCCATTCCTGGGGGAAACATTTGTGTTGTGTTTGCCACTTTTGTCCGCTTATGGAAATACTATACTAAAGGAAAACTGTTAAAATAGCAATGAGAAATCAATGCACATTTAGCATCAGATACAAATCCAAGATTAATAACAGGCTGGTATTTTCTTCACTGAGATGCACTGCAAGACCGAAAAATATGGTCCTATTATATTTGTCTTGAGAAGGAGTTGCCAAGGAGTCTAAAGTCACTGTTAGAGATAATTTGTTGGCCTCCTGACACATCAAACTCATTACTGTGATCTAAGAATTGGCCCTTGGTACTATTTGCACTTTCAGATAGGTCATTAACAAATGATAGAGACAAGAATGACTATGAAATCAGTCCTTGAGGTTATCCACAGAGTTTCAATAGCAATGCTATTGGGTGAATGACTTGTGTTTGAATATAGAGAAATCATAAAGCAGCTAGTCCATGTAAATAAAAATAGTCATCTCAAAATACGTTTGTCTCTCCAGGAGAGTATGCATTGAATATTGCTCACAGCTGTAGAAACATTATTACAACAGAGTCTCAGGGGAGGGATGCAAATTGAACATGCAGGTATAAGGAAGGATTCTGTAATTCGAGATAAGATTTTATCAACTCTCAAAGCAAACAGAGATAAATCAATATAGTAATGAAAAAAAGTACCTAATTAAAAAAGTTAGATAGATTTTTTTCTTCTTATGTTAGTTGTTTAAAATATTTTCCTCCAAAGCCAAATATCCAATGATTGTATGATTTCTTAAATGATTGAATTTTTGAAATGCCCCTGGTTCTAGCTAAAGTGCAGGGGTAAAGGGAGTGGGTAATACAAGAGGAGAAGAGCTAGAATCTTCGGGAATTGGCCCATGGGTCTTCTGTCAATAGGGCCTCCATAAATGGGGATAAGCACTAGATGAGGCATGCTAGCTGAGTGCTGCAAAAGTTTCAGTCTGTTTCCCATGGAAAAGAATAACAGTGGTGCACCTATAGAAAGTATTTCCAATATAGAAGGCATACTGTTGGTAAGTATATCCAATGTTACTATGATATAATCTTTTCTATGTTCAAATGAAGAAAAAGTTTTAAAAAATTGATGAAACTGTAATTTCTCCTAAACTATGCCATTCTAAAAAAATTTTTTTTAAAGAGAGATTTTTGTTATTGGAAATGTGTGCTTGCCAGAGAGACAAGAGAGACAGAGATACAGAAAGCAAGAAATCCATTCCCTTGCCCCCCCGCCCCATGCCGCAGTCTCCTCTCCTCCATTATCCTCCGGGAATTTTGGGCACACATGCACATGTGCCCAACATGAGTTTCAAGCCTCTGGGTCCAGGACTTGAACCATGGTTGACTATGTGTGAGTCCAGTGATGTAACCATTATACCATCTGCTGGTCCCATCCATTCTAAATTTTTAAGGTTACTATTGATAAGTCCAAAGGTAAATAAGATCACAGATAACATCATTTTTAGAGCCACGTGTTATATCAAAACCTGTAAGTACCTAAGACAGAAAGAGAAGGATTATAGGACTAAGACCTCCTGATAGATTAATAGCTGTAAAAAGCTATCAAAAGGCAGCAGGCATCTGGGCAGGAACTTTCTCTTTAGTTTGGAGGCCAGAAATACATTGGCATTGCCTCTGGAATTGGCACAAGCTCAATTTTTAATTGGTTTCCAAATCTGCAATGGAACATTCCTGTAGTCATCCATGAACCAACCTTATCCTAAGAAGCTGAGTGAATCTTGGCCAACCATCTGCCTTGTGAATTGTTTTGTTTGGGACCTTTATGGGACAGAAAGTACTTGTTGGGCAGTATTTCATGTTAAGTTAGAATTCTTCAAAACATTGCTCTAGCAGAAAATTCACAGAGAAAAAATTGTCCAGGGAGACAATTTCTAGACAATGCCTTCACTAGTGTCCTTAGGGCTGAATGGACTTGCAAGGCTGGGAGTGAGACCTGCTTTCCTCCATACCTTGGCACGATGACTTCCAGAAGGAAGTAAAGCCTATGCTTGGAGAAGAGAGAGCGCGGGACACATAGACTGCATCACTGAAGGCCAAACAACGTATTTTAAGTTTAATTTAACTTAAAACTTCACTGGATTTACCACTATAACTCTAATTCCTCCCACACAGCCAAATTTCTGTAAATTCTGATTGAATTAATAATGACTCTTTAGAAATATGCATATAGACAGTCTATGACTTACAATGGTTTGACTTACGATTTCTTTTTTTTTTGACTTGATGCTGCAAAAGCAATACATGGTCAGCAGAAACCATACTGACGGGATTTGTAAAGTTCTGTTTTTTCCTTTCAGTACACAGTCAGCAAATAACATGAGATATTTAACACTTTATCCTAAGATAGGCTTTGTGTTTGGTGACTTTATCCAACTGTAGGCTAGTACAAATGTCTTCAGATTTAAGATAGGCTAAGCTAAGCTATGATGTTGGGTAGCTTATGTATATTAGATGAATTTTGACTCACAATATTTTCAGCTTTATCAGGACATAACCCCATCACAAGGTCAAGAGCATCTACACGATGAAACCACCTCAGTAGCAGAAGTGTATGGGGAGCTCACGGGTTCTTCTATCCCCAGGACAGTGCTCTCTACCTTCATAGTAAGTATGAGGAAAAAGCATCTTTTCAACTTTCCTCATGGATGGGAAGACACTTTCCCCCGCTGAGTCCACTCTGCCCCATCACATAGAATGAGAGTATGGGAGGAAACAATTACTCAGCGATTCCTGACTTCTAAAATGAAACAGAAAACCAGTTGTGGATAAAAAGATAGTCTAATTTACCTTGGAAATTAAAAACTCAGCTTCTCAGTTTGGAAATAATGAAATAAGTAAGCCTCACCAAGAACTTTCAACATGTGGATTGGATGGAATGGCTACCGAAGAAGTGAAAAGGGTAAGAGTAAAAAAATCAAGTGTAGCTGTCGAATAATAATCATAATCATAATCATTGTTTTTATATGTAGGGTTTTCAGATTTATGATTTTTAAAAGGATTATTTATTTAATCTATACTTATCATTATTATTATCACTTTTACATTTAGAATAGGGCATGTGCACTAAACAGAGAGACAGAGAGATAGAGAGACAGAGACAGAGAGAAAGAAAAAGTGAGAAAGCAGTGAGATTCGACTACCAGGTCCGAGACTGAAACTGTGGTCGGCCGTGTGGGAGTCCAGTGCCTTAACCACCATGCCACCTCCTGGCCCCTTATGATATATTTTTGAATATATGACTGGGAGATGCCAGGCCTTGAATCCAGAATACTCTATGGCATTTTCATTAAGAAGTATACTTTCAGGCCAGTAGGTGGTGTGGAGGTTAAGACGCTAGATCCCACATGGGCAGCCGTGTGGTTTGAGTCCTGGACCCAGCAGTTTGAAAATCATGCCTGGCACATGTAGTGCATTCCCAAATTCCTGGGGTGGGTGTGGGTGTGGGGGGAGAATATAAGGAAAAGGATTGGGACGTGGCCATCACCCCGGGGGGGGGGTGATTTCTCACTTTCCCTCTCTCCCTGGTAAGTGCACAGACTCTATAGAAAAAATTGAAAAAAAAAAAAAAACCCCCCTCTCTCCCTGGTAAGTGCACAGACTCTACAGCAAAAATTGAAGAAAAAAAAAAAACAATTTCAAGTTAGAATCCAGGTGAATGGAGTCCCTCTGAAACTGTAGCAGCCAGGGAGGTGGAGAGGTGTACTTTTTATTTGAGGATAATGAAGGCGGGGGGGGGAAGACTTGCATTTCAGAGTGCAGAACAGGTCTAAAGTTTCCAATGCATAAAGTGAACCATACCTGAAACATGCTTTTGACTAGGTGCATTACTAGGACCCCATACACTGCTACCCACTTCAGCTGACCAAAAGCATCTCCTGGTACAGCCATAAGGGTTCTTTAACACTTGCTGCAATCCATGCTCCTCTAACCCAGGGCAGCACAGGGAAATCATAGTTCCAGTCCAATTTAATTGATGTAAGTGAATATCCTAGAGGCAGATCGATTGGTTCAAATAACTTTTATGACTGAGCAATTATAATAAAAATTAATTACTTAATACTGCTTTGTATAATGCATGCAGAGTCAATCCTTGTTTAAGAACAAGAAAGGAGGGGCTGCGTGGTTCTGCACTCTGAAATACCAGTCTCCCACCCCACTCTGACAGAGCTGTGCCTCAGCCTCTTTGCCTCAGCTTCTGCATGAAAAATGTGGATAATAAAATTTTTTATCTTGTAGTGTTGTGGTAAAGATGAAGTGAGTCAACACTTTTAAAACACCAGAGTGCCTAGTCCATGGTAAATTCTGCATAGAGTAAATTCTGCTTGTGAAACAAATCAGATGTTGCAAAGCAGGAGGCAGAAGGAAAGGGTGTGGTGCCTTAGACGCAGGTATCGGACTTTGATATTCACCTATAACACAGAAGGGCTTTCGGGCAAACCTCAGTCTTCCTTGCCATCCTCTATAGCGACAACAGCAACCGGCAGACCAGATTCGAATGATGAACTCCAAACCAAAGACGACAATCATCACGAACTCCTAAAACACCAGAAAGATCTGTCAGAGAGCAGCATTTTGGAGCATACCACAGCAAGAAGTGCGTACATACTTCTGGACATAAACTGGACTGTAACTACTAGGAAACGGGAGAAACCTCTGAAATGAAAGAATGGGCCCTGAAATACACTGCCCAACTTAAAACAGAGCTTTGTCTTGCCACGATGAGTGACACAATCCCTGAGCCTTTAAGAGTATTCAGAGATGGACCAGCAGTCGGTGTAATGGCTATGTCGCTGGACTCCCATGTAGTCGACCGCGGTTCGCGTCCCAGACCCGGTGGCTTAAAACTCACGCCAGGCCCGTGTGCATGTGTGCCCAAGATCCCAAGAGGAGAATGGAGGAGAAGGGATTGTGGCGTGGCCATCCCCCCTGGGGGGTGATTTCTTGCTTTCTGTCTCTCTGTCTCTCTCTGTTTTTCTGGTGAGTGCATACATCCTATAGCAAAACCCCCTCTCTCTCAAAAAAAAGTTGTTCTCAGAGAAAATGAAGTAAATATTTAGAAGTGTATTAAGCTCTTTTGTTACAGTGTCAAAATATCCTTACAAAAACAGTGAGTTTCAAAAGCATTACTGTGTGCGGCACATGTATCCTTTGCCAGAAATAAGACCCTGAATCCTCCCAATCCAAAGCTTGCTAATTATTATGTTGCCCTTGGCCAAGGCTGCCTAGAAAACAACACCTGCTTGAGCAAAATGACTTTGAGATTAAGGAAAGTTGCGAGTTAACCCTGGAGAAAGGCCAGCTAAAGTTGCTCATTAAACAGTTGGTCACAGGATGAAAAACCAAATGGAGTTTGTAAAAGGAAATTATCTCTAGAGCTAGTTTGGCCTAGTTACCTTGTCTCTATAGGAACAGACTCTGAATTTATCAAAATATGTTTTCCTTTATAAAATACTTTCTTTTCTTATTTGTTGATTTACTTTATATTTTTTGTTATATGGCGCATGCTCTCGCCAGAGGCAGAGGGAGGGAACATGACAACTCACCCCCTGGGGGGATGGTCACACTGCAATCTCTTCTCTTCCATTCTCCCCTCAGGGATTTTTGGGCATGCGCCATACATACCCAGCAGGATTTTCGAATCGCCAAGTCTGGGACGCGAACTGTGGAGTTGGCCACATGGGATCCAGTGCCTTAACCACCGTGCTATCTGCTGGCCCTTCTTTCTTACTTTTAAGCAAGGATTGACTCAGCATTTATTATGTAGAACAATAGTAGGTAATTATTTTTCTATTATAATTGCTCAATCGTATAAGTGATATAAAGTCTTTATTAAAACTTGCAAGGGGCCAGAGGGTGGTACAGTGGCAACACAACTGGACCCATGTGAGAAAAGTCTTGGATTTGTGTCCTGGGACCTCCGTGAATACACTTGGTATGCACAAGCATGCCTGTGGTCTGAACTGGCTGAGACTGGAGGTACATTTTGACACAAAGACCCTACTGGGAGTGTCTCTCTTTCTTGGAAGAACTAAATCAACTTTAAGTAAATCAACTAAAAAAAGTCCCAAACATCACATAAATATAGAACGTAAAGGTTCAAATCGACTCTCCTTGCTCCCACCCAACTCCTAGGATAAAAACTGTTACTGAATTTATGTAAATGGCATTTTTCTTGCAAGTTTCAGGCAAATGTCTCTTTCTTGAGTTAAAGTATGTGAGGATATGCTGCACTTTTGAAATGCCTAGTAAAGATAAATCATTCCATCCTTCTGTTATTTTGCACTAAGTAATCCACAAATATGTCTCAGGATGGGAAATAAATCTCCAGGATCACCACTGCTTAAATGATGTAAAGCTGACAATGACTTAAAATGACAGGATGAATCTCCCGAGATGCTTTTATACACAGAGAACCAGAACGATATTCACCGTAGACCCAGTAATGATCTGAGGGTTTTGTTAAGTTTTGGCTTTGTTTTGATTTTGAGTATGTATCTAGATTATCGAGTCTATTCATTTATTAAGGACTCTAAAGTGTCACGTTATCTGTTTTTAATCCAGCACATCTTTCTACAAGTAGAAAGCATGCAGAGGCCTACAAATGCCCATCTAGCTCTGCCTTGTGCCCAACTTAGGTTTAATAGGAGGTCCACATTTGTAATCTCTATTCCTAACTCCTTTTTAATGCCAGGAAGTTTGGCATTCCAGTTGTGAGAGGTCATATTATGAGGGAGATCCAGGAAAATTCTAAAGGTGAGGTTTGAGCTTAGGCACTACCATATAATGAGTTTTCTTTTTCATGGGAAGAGATGATACCAGTAGCTGAGAAAAATCACTAATATTAGGAATGTAATAGGGGATATCACTACCTAACTGTAGCCATTACAAAAGGGAGAATACCAGGGCCAATAGATGGCATAGTGGTTATGTCGCTGGACTCTCACATGGTCGACTGTGCTTGGAGTCCTGGATCTGGTGGCTTGAAACTCATGCCAGCCTTGTGTGTGTGTGTGCCCAAGATTCCAGGAGAACGGAGAAAGGATTATGCATGGCCACATGGCCATCCCCCTGGGGGGGTGCTTTCTCACTTTCCCTCTCATTGTTTCTGTCTCTCTCTCTCCAGCGAGGACATACCCCTAAGGCAAACAAACAAACAAACGAAAACAAAAGAGGGAATACTATGAGCAACTTGATGAACACAAACTTGACAGATCAGAGGAAATGGACCAAATCCTTGATAACTACAAGTCACTTAAACTCATCAATGAAGATATAAACTGTATTGCTCTATAGCCTCTAAGATGAATTACAAACTAAAACTTCCCCATTCTCAATATCCAGGTCAGATAGTTTCCATGGTAAATGCAACCAAATATTTAAAGAAGATTTAGGGGTTGGATGATGGTTGAGTATTAAAATGGTAAAATGTGACAGCTTGAAAGTCTGAGCCACACGGGCAAGTTAGTAGTTCATGTCCAGAGACCTTACATGCCAGGCTCATGCATGCCCACGATCTGCGGCTAGCTGATGCTAGAGGTGGACTGCGGTGTCGGGATTTTCTTAGGGGTATTGTTTCCCTCTCTTGCTTGCTCATGGCAAAAATAAGTGAACGAACTTATTCTTAAAATTTTTTAAAAAGTAAAGAATTATGTCAGTGTCACACAATTTCTTCCAGAAAATGGAAAAAGAGAAACACTTCCTGATTTATTTTCAGATTATTCCATAATCCCTGGCACCAAATCTAGATTATAACAGTACAAAAATTAAACCAAAAACTGTCAATCAATATCTTTTATAAATATAGATGCAAACTTTCTCAACAAAATATTAGAAGACTGAACCACCAATATATCAAAAGAATAAGCCATCAACAAGCAGAATCTATTCTAGGTGTATTAAGCTAAAATCAACATAACACATTATATCAAGTTAAAGAAAAAAATGATATGATCAAATCAATGAATGCAGAAAAAGTGTTTGAGAAGATCCAATAACTATCCATGATTAAAATTCTCAGCAAGTTAGGAATAGAGAGAGTTAATATCTCAATTTGATAAATAACATTTACTAAAAATCTGTAACTGACATCCTATGTAATGGTAAAAGATTTAATGCTTTCCCCTAAAATCAAGAACAAGCAAGATGTCCAATTTTATTACTTTTATTCAACATAGTACTGTAAGTTATAGTCGTTGCAATGAGGCAAATAAAAGGATAAACGACGCACGGTTTGGAAAGGTGAACAAAAATGCTTCTATTCGCAGAGGATGTGATTATTTCCTTATAATCCACAGAAATGCTCTTACAATGAATGAGTTCAGTAAGATTTCAGGATATATGGTCAAGATACAAAAGTCAATTACATTTCTTTCTTTCTCTTTCTTTTCTTCATTTTTATTAGAGGGTGCACGCACTTGCCACAGACAGAGTGAGAGAGAGAGAAGTTCCACCAAGGGAATGGTTATTCCATAATCCCTTCTCCTCCATTTCTCCTCCTGTTTGGGATTTTAGGCATGCATGCACACCTGCCTGGTATGTTTTCAAGCTGGTGAGTACAGAACTTGAACCACACAGTAAGCCAGGGGGGACCTAGTCACCTTAACCACCACACCATGGGCTGGTCCTGATGAATCACATTTCCATATACAAACAATCAGCAGGTGGAAATAAAGATTAAAAACAATATTTGTGATCATCCCAAATAAAAAATGATACCTAGATATACACTTAGTGAAATATGTACAGTTCGTATATGCTGAAAATGACAAAATGCTGACAGAAGAAATGCTAACAGAGGAGGAGACCTACATAAAGTGGGGAGACATACCATGTTCATGCATTGGAAGACAAACATAATAAAGATGTCAATTCTTCCCATATTGATCTATAGGTCTGACACAATTCCTATAAACAAGATTTTGTTTTTGTAGATACAAACTTACTCTAAAGTTTGTAGTGCTACAGGGCATGTGTGTTAGAGAGAGAGAGAGAGAAAGAGAAAGAGAGACACAGAAAGAACCTTTCCAGTAGGGCCTCGCCACAGTGCGTTTTTTCCCCCCTCTGATTGTCCACCCCATCAGGATTCTGGACAGTACTATCCAGTGTTCTATGAGGCTGGCCCTGTATTCTAAAATTTATATGAAAATATACAAGCTCTAGAAAAAGCTAAAACAAACCTGACAAAAAAGAGTAACATGAGAGGAATCACTTTACCTCATATTAAGGCCTACCATATAACTCCAGTAATCCAGACTGTGCAGTGCGGGCAGGGGGATAGACATATGGAATAGTGGAGTAGAATAGAGGACTCAGAAATTGATTCACACAAATATGCTCTACTGACTTTTGGTTTTGGTGCAAAAGCCATTCAATGGGTGAAGAACGGCCTTTTAACAAATAACGCTGAGAAAATTGGACATCTAGGACCAAAAAAAAAATCGAAATCCTCAATCTATGCCCCATACCTCATACAAAAATCAATTTAAATAGACCATGAACATAACTATCAATATTAAATATAAAATGATAAAAGTTTT